TATTTCCCTGCAAGTCTATAACCCGAGATTTCCCTTTTAAAAAGAAGTTTTAAAAAAATTGCCCTGGCCGGTTTGGCTCAGCAGTTAGAGCGTCGGCCTGCGGTCCGGAGAGACCCGGGTTCGGTTCCCGCTAGGGGCACGTACTTCCGTTGCACTTTGTCCCCGGCCCTGGTTGGTCGTGCGGGTGGCAGCCACTCGATGTGTCCCTTCACATCGAGGTTTCTCTCTCTCTCTCCCTTCCTCTCTCTCCCTCCCACTCTATCTGTACAAAAAATGGAAAAATGTCCTCGGGTGAGGATGAAAAAAAAAAAAAATAGGAGTAGGATTTATAACTAGGGCAATTGAGGGATCATTTGCAGGGGACAGAGGAATCTGTAGTAGCCCCTGATTTTATGAGGATTTCACTTTAGGATGTTTTTCTTTGTTTGTTTATGCTTCGGGTTTTTTGTTGTTGTTGTTGTTGTTTTGTGAGACTAAGGCAAGCCAGTGTAGAGCCAAGAAATTGAGGACCTAACTATTTAGACTTGATTCTAAAAAAGAGAAGCAAAGTGGATATAGAGATACCATGTCTTAGAAGCCTGGCTCAGTTCATGAAATAGGAAGGGAGACAGAGGTTTAAAGCAGACACTTTAACCAAGAAAGAAAGTGTTCATTTGGGTGGAGAGTCCCTCAGGATATGTCTCTCTGACTAAACTGATTACAATAGGTAGGATATGGTGGATAGAGCAGAGATTTTGAAAGTGTTGTCCGTGGATCCTTGGGCTTGGTCCCCAATACCTTTTCTTTATTATTTTTATAATAATACTCTTTTGCCTTTTCACTCTGTTGATATTTACACAGAAGTCACCAAAGCAGTGGTGGGTAATGATGGTGCCATAGCAAGAACCTGGGGGCTAATGCCAAATTATCCTAGTAGTCATTGTATTCTTCACCACTGCAAAATTTAAAACATATAAATACCAGTTTGACTTAAGAATGTTTTCAATGCTACATGAAAATTAATTTTATTAAGAGGACCTAAATAGGCACTTCTCCCAAAAGGACATACTAATGTCCAAGAGACATATGAAAAAATGCTCAACATCACTAATCATCAGAGAGATGCAAATTGAAACAACTATGAGGTATCACCTCACACCTGTCAGAATGGCCGCCATCAACTAATCATCAAACAAGTGCTGGCGAGGGTGTGGAGAAAAGGGGACTCTAGTACACTGCTGGTGGGAATGCAGACGGGTGCAGCCACTATGGAAAACAATATGGTGTTTCCTCAAAATATTAAAAATTAAACTTCCATTTGACCCAGTGATCCCACTTCTAGGAATATAACCTAAGGAGCCTGAAATACCAATCAGAAAGAATATATGAACCCCTATGTTCATAGCAGCACTATTTATAATAGCTAAGATCTGGAAACAGCCCAAGTGTCCATCAATAGACAAATAAATAAAAAAGCAGTGGTACTATCTGAAAAAAAAAAAAAAAAAAAAAAAAAAAAAGGAAAAATGTCCTCAGGTGAGGATAAAAAAAAAAAAAAAAGAAAAAGCAGTGGTACATATACACAATGGAATATTTTGCAGCTGTAAGAAAGAAAGATCTCTTACCCTTTGAGATGACATGAAAGGATTTGTCTTTCTAAGCAAAATAAGCCAGCCAGAGAAAGACAAGTACCACATGATATCACTTATTTGTGGAATATAATGAACAAAATAAGCTGATGAACAAAATAGAGCCAGAGACATGGAAGTAGGAATCAGACTGACAGAGGAGGAGGGAGGGAAGATAGGAAGAAATAAACCAAAGAACTTATATGCATATATGCATAACCAATGGACATAAACAACAATGCTGTGAGGTGGGGGCAGGATTGGGAGGAGGGTGTCTAAGAGGGGAAAGGAGAAACATCTGTAACAAAAATTAATTAATTAATTTAAAAAAAAAATAAAAAAAAAGAACTTTTATTAAATCTCAGACCTTGAATACATCTCTCCTTAATATTCTGTGTGATGAGATGGAAGTGAACTTACTAATGTATGATGATGGCCTCAAGGAAAAGCACTTGTATGATCGAGTTGCCTACTGTTCTGGCCATGTTTCTTCACAGAACACCATCTAATTGAAAGAATGACTATGGTAATTCAGACTTGGGTATTTGGAAGACATTTTACTGAAAATGAACAAAGTGAACCTGTCACTTCAAGGAAAACAATTGACAATACCTGTTTCCAATGATAAAATTGGAGCTTTCGAGCAAAATTTAGAATTTGGAAAATTTGTATCTTCACTATGAGCTTAACAGCTCCCCAATACTTAAAATACTTTTCTAATGCTGATCTTAACTAATGTGATCTTCTGATAGTGTATGATAAAGTGTGTCAGCATTTGAAGGATCTGCGTAATTCAGTGGGCCAGTATTTTCCAAATGATCGATGTGTGATATCATATGTGGTTGAAAGTTCCATTTAAAATACAAGATACACCAATGGATTTGGTGACAGTACTGAATATATAAAATTTGCTGATATGTTTTCACATTCCACAATGCAAATAACCCTCAAGGAACTACCACTTGTTAAGTTTTGGTGTGGCATCTAAGAAGGATATCCACAGTAAGTGAAAGGCTATTAAGCTCTTTTCTTTTCCAATTACATACTGTGCGAGTCCAGAGTTTCTTCAAATACTTCAACCAAAACAATGTTTTGCAACAGATATAAGAATCCAGCTATCTGCTCTCAAGCCAGACATTAAAAAGATTTTCAAAAATGTAAATCACCAATTTTCTGAGTGATGAAAAATATACTTGTCTTTCATTCAAAAATGTTTATTTTAATACAGAATGGGTTCACACTTGTCATTTAAAACAAAAAATATTTTAATTTTTTCTAAGATTTAATTTTTAATACAGTAAAGAAAAATTTAATACAGAATAGTAACACAAAAAATCTTCGGGGTTGTCAACAGTTTTTAAGAATATAAAGGTGTCATGAGACCAGATAGTTTGAGACCTGCTGGGGGAGTCCCAAGGAGAGAGGTTCTTAAAAGGAAGAAGGGAACAAACTCTCTGCTTTGTGTAGCAGACACTCAACAGTGGAATACAATGATGATAAAGACACGCAAAACCAGTATGACTAACAATAAGGCAGGAAGTGAGAAGTGCTAAATGAGTGGTCTGAAGATGTGCTGTCCAATGGGGCAGGCACTAGCCACATGTGGCTACGGTCCAAACTGAGATGTCCTGAAAGTGCAAATATGCACCTGACTTCAGAGATTTGGCAGGAAATAAGGAATGAAAGTATCTCATTACTTTTTATATGGATTATGTGCTGAAATGTCAATATTCTATTTGTATTGGGTTATTCACAGTACTAAAATTAATTTCATCTTTTCTTTTCTCAATGTGGTGACTAGAAAACTTAAATACACATGGAGTGCATTTTATTTCTCTCTGAACAGCGTTAATTTGGAAGGGAAGTGTGATGGGAACTCAGAGCAGGGAAAAGTTGCTGTGTGTTTGGGGGTGGGGGGATGGGGGTCATCAGTGGAATCTTCTCTGAGAAGAATATGGTTTCACTAAGTGGACAGATCAGGGGAGGGCCCTGCAGATGAAAGGCACACCAATACTGAATCTGAAAAGTTAATCCAGGGAACAACAGAGGCTTGTCTGCATCAGATCATGGGCTGTTAGGGGACAGAAGTTTCCTGGATAGCTTGGGACTAAATTGTACAGAATTTTGGGTGCCAAAAATTTGGTCTTTTTTCAGTACACAGCGATTACTTCCCCAGAAGAAAACTGGACTTTTCCCTGTAGGTTATGGATTGGTCTGAATTAGGCATTTTTCTTCATATGGGGACACAGCAGCCTCAGTTCCTGAAAAACACCCAGTGGGCAAGCAGCCAGGACCAATCCTACCTGACCAGTGAAATTAGATTGATGTCCAGAGTGAGACTTTTGGGTTGATTGGCTCATTTTTTCCAAAGGGAGGGACATGGATGATCTATTTAAGAACATGATAATAATGTCACCTGGAAGAGGAGGAGAATCCTGCGGCTGCCAATGCATGATGGCAGGGTCAGGGCAAGCCATGAAGCAGGCGTTTAACCTGGGTATTGCTCTAGGCATGTGCATGAGCAGACTAGGCCGTGCTGTCCAATGCTTTTAGTCTACCTTCCTTTATTTTTGCCTTCAATTTCATGAACATTTGTGGAACCCTTGCTGTATGTCAGGGCATTAACAATTTAGCTCTGAGGATATGAAATGACAAGGCCACTAAAGAGGGAGCTGAAACACCTGGACTCTCATCTAGGCTCATGGGCTAAGTCAATGTGTAACTCCAGTCACCTCCTTGGGCCTCAGGCTCTTCAGATATGAATGAGGAGTTAGAACCAGATGAGACCAAGGCTCTCTCCAGCCCTGTGATTCCAGAAGGGGTGTGCATCACAGAGGGAGAAGAGCATCCACATCAACTAGGTTCAGGGCTACTGGGGGGAGGAGGATGCCGGCCAGTGGGGGCAGGTTTCAGTGGCTTGCACAGGAACTGGCCCACACCTTTGGGTGAAGCTGTCCTCTTCCCAGGGAGCAAACCCTGCTGAATCAGAGCACAATGGAGTCTATGAGTTTGGTGTTTTGATCCTGCCTATCCACCCCTTCCATCCCAGAGGCTGGCTCACCTGGGAGAATTGAGTCTGAAAGGAACAAGCCAGGAAGCCAGGAATTTAGCTCCAGGCAAGTAAGCCTGCCAGGGGGTCCAGATGGTCTGGGGAAACCGCTGAAGAAATGAGTCTGTGTAGCCCCCACCCACCCACCTCCCCTTAACTACCTTGGGCCCCTGCAGTTACAGGGGGCTGGTGGTAATGAGAGGGCACCCGGTCAAGGGGCTTCAACCCAACTGTTTCTGCTTTTTTAGCGTTTCTAGAAGAGAGAGTGGGTGGGACCGACCCAAGTAAAGTCCCAGAGACGCCAACACTGACGCACAGGAAAGCCTCAAGTGGGAGGAGAAATGCAAATCCCCTGCCGACGACGGCGTCGGCGGCTCGGTCCGGTAACAGTGAAGGGTGACTCTGGCTCTGGACTTGAGCACCGCCTGGGACCTGGGCTGACAGAGCCAGGTAAGTCGGCAGACCATTCCTCGTGCTGCTTTTTCGGAGAAGCACCGGCCAGAAAATGCTTATGCAGGGTGCTGCTGAGGTTTTGCTGTTTACTTGGTGTTTTGACAGTTAACTTCATTTTAACTTGTCTAAGGATGGGTGATTTTAGAAAGAAACGTCTGACTCCATGATTCAGAGATGCGCAGGGGCGCAGGTCTCTGGGCCTGCGCTCTGCCCCTGGGATCTGAACCGTGGGTGGGACAGTTGTGGCTGGGGCGGGGGTGTGTCCTCGCCAAGTGCTGAAAGTGAGCCCCTCTTCACTTTCTTAGCCAGCTTCTGTGAGTTATGTCTGACATTAGATTGCATACCTGGGTTTCAGAAAAAAGCCCACAGCTAAGATAACCTGTAAATGTGGCTTTGATGAGAGCAAGAGCTATTTTAGGGCAAATCATCTGCTTTGCAAGCTCTGGGTCGCAGAGCCGATAAGGCTCCTCGATAGTGGAGGAAAAGGCTCCTTTATATAGATCTTTTAGGGCCAGGCATTCAAAGAGAATAGACAGAAACTCAGACTTCAAAAGAAATGTTCCATAGTGTTCTTGGAATGAGGAATTAACCCTTTAGAGAGTAAAAGTATAGACAGGTACTGAATGATATCTGAAGGTACTTCTAAAGACTGCAACAGAGTAGAATGTCCTATGAATACAGGGGCGGGGGGGGGGGAGTAGGTTGAATTAGCAGCCATCATTACCTAATAGATAGATTATAAATAAGAATATGAAATAATAAGACAATACAAATAAATACAACAATAATTAATAAATAAATACTAATACAAGAATAACTATGTGTTTCATGTACTCAACCTATTTTTGCCTACCCCTGTTTATACCTTAATCCTTTCCTTTTTCAGCACTGAGCTCAGCTCTCTGGAAGGTGGACTAGGGTTCTAAGAGTGATCTAACTTGAGGATAGATTCAGTTCAGTTTAGTCTATTAGAAAACAGACTTTCATCCATATCAGATTTAACAATAGTAGCAGTTACAGTTGTAATGCTATTTTCAGCCCATGTTCTCTCTTGTCATTAACTAGGCTAAATTGATGGGATATAGCAGGACAATGTCAACAGTAACATGGGAGCAAATGGTCAGATTTTGTGTGGAATGTATATACACCCCGCATTTGGAAAGAGAGTTGTGTCTGGTGTTAGGAGACTTCAGGTCAGTTTGTAAAGCTGTGCCCCTTGGGCAGGAGTCATTTCTGACCTTCAGATGTTTTTCATTTTTAAAATTGGGGTAATACCTGCCCTATTCACACAACATCAGGAGGGCTAGTCCTTCCATTTAACAAGCACTTACTGAGGACTCACAATATACCTGGAACTGCCGTGTGCGAGAGTCTTCAGATTAGACAGTGGTATGCCGTTGCTTTCTTTTAACAAAACATTGACAGTACTTTTCTTCTATACGTTTAAATCAGGAAGAGGGTACCCCAAGATGGTTTCATTTGAAACCTGAAAAATAGATATATGAAATATATAAAATTTATTACCATAAATGTTCTGTAGACAAAAGTAAACTTTAACTTACCAATGAGATAGATTGAAATACTATAGTGATTAATTACATAAAACTTTTTTTCTTTGATCTGGAATTGCTGACAAAACAATAAAAATTTGACTTTTGAAACAGTAAAATTCTGTAACTTCAAGGAGACGTCAAACTAATTTCCCTGAGTTAGGAAATACTTCTAAAGTGGCCAGAGTGGGGTTTTATGAGGGAAAAACATAACTTGTGTTTTATGACAGATTGTCAAATGCGTATCAAGGGTGGTTTCTTCTTCAAGTAACTTGAGGGTGTAACCACTTTCAGATGCACATCAGAGACTAATTAAAAGTAGGCTTTGAAAGCTTTGCCCAGCCATAGTGGATCATCACAAAGAGAAATAATAATATATATATTCCTCACATATAAAGCCTTAAGAGGGTCTTTGGAGGTATTGTTGAGTATGCTATTTAAGTTGCTCTAAGTCTAATAGTATAGAGGGAGCAAGAGACGGGGAAGGAGCTTGCTGACAATACAAATTGGTGTAGACAGACAGGGATGGGGTAGGGAGAGGGGTGTTGAAAGGAAACGAAAGCTTTCTGGAGAAGGCTGAGCAAGAGTTCCTGTTAGGCTAAGAAGGAGGTGGTTTGGGGCCAGAGGGAGAATCCTGTTTCCTTCATTATGGATGACTTACAGAAAAGTTTAGAGTTGCTTTATCTTTGAATTGAAAGCATTTTCTCATTTAGTTGAGTGACTATTTTTAAAAAGTAATTTTTCTTCAGTTCCCTAATGGACAACATTGTCTTTATTTGAAATCTAAGAAAAGAATAAGATGTACTATAGTTACTAACATTGTTTTTAAACTCTAATTTTATCCCTTGTTTTATAGCATGTCTCAGTGGAATCAAGTCCAACAGTTAGAAATCAAATTTTTGGAGCAAGTAGATCAATTCTATGATGACAACTTTCCTATGGAAATCCGGCATCTGCTGGCCCAGTGGATTGAACATCAGGACTGGTAGGATCAATTTCACCTAGAGGTTGATGTACAAATGCTTTATACTCTATCCATATGGATTTATTCTATGGTTCACTCTTCACTCAGTAGGTGCATTCTTTTCAGATAAAAAACTTTTTCAAAGTTTTGGAAAACATTTTTAAAGAAGAAGATTCATTGTTCTTTCTGGTTTCATCTATTGTAGATGAAAACTTGATGGTGCTAGTGCTTTGTTTTCCTGTAAGCCAAAACCCTAACAATTTTCTAAATATTAAAAAGCCAAGAAGTAAATTGATTGTTAATATCAATTTTCCATCACAGACTCAATGTAAACAAATATTTTTCTTAGTATATTTTACATTCTTTAAAACTCTATTCACATTGTACAACTTTAAAATTTTCTTTTGTTTTAAACATTTGTCTATTTTTTTTTATTTTGGTAAAATATATATAACATAAAATTTACCCTTTGAACTATTTCTAGGCATACAGTTGAATGGCATCAAGTACATTCACATTGTTGTGCAACTATCACCACCATCCATCTCCGGAACTTTTTCATCTTCCCGAACTGAAATTTTACACTCATTAAACAATAATTCCTCATTCTCTCCACCCTAGCCCCTGGCAACCACCATTCTATTTTCTGTCTCCATGAATTTGACTATTCTAGGTACTTCATATAAGTAAAAGGACAATATTTGTCCTTTGGTGACTGACTGATTTCCCCTAGTATATTTTTTTCGCAATTCATTCATGTAGCATGTATCAGAATTAACTCCCTTTTAAAGGTTGAATAATATTCATATATTTATATAAAATAATATTCATATATATAATCACATTTTGTTTATATGTCACATTTGTTTATAGACATTTGAATTGTCTCTATCTTTGGGCTATTGTGAATAAAGTTGCAATGAACCTTGGTGTACTAATATCTGTTCAAGTCACTGCTTTCAGTTTCTTTGGGTATCTACCCAGAAGAGGAATTGCTGTATATAACTCTATATTTATATTCTGAGGAATCTTCATCCATGTTTGTCATAGTGGCTGCACCATTTTACAATCCCACCAGCAGTCACAGGGGGCCCAGTGGCTCCCCATCTTCACCGATGCTTATTTTGTGTTTTCCATAACTACATCCTAATATATGTAAAGTAGTGTCTTCTTGTTTTGTTTTGTTTTAATTTTTTTCCTTTGTTGATTTGAGAGAAAGTGAGAAGGAGAGAGAGACAGAAACATTGATGAGAGAGAACATCGATTGGCCGCCTCCTGCACGCCCTGCACTGGGGATCGGGCCCACAACCTGGGCATGTGTCCTGACCAGGAATTGAACTGGCAACCTTTTGGTGCATGGGTCAACACTCAGCCACTGAGCCACACTGGCCGGGCTTCTTGGGTTTTGATTTGCATTTCTCTAATGATTAGTGGTGTTGAATATCTTTTCATATGTACAATTTAATTCTAAAAAATCTTTAAATGCTTATCACTGTGAAATAGATTTATCACTTTAAAATTAGTGTGGTAAAAAGGTAGAGATGTTACTTAGTTGTTTCTGTATAATAACACTTTTTTTTTTTCTTTTAGGGAGGTGGCTTCTAACAATGAAACCATGGCAACAATTCTTCTTCAAAACTTGTTAATACAACTGGATGACCAGTTAGGTCGCGTTTCCAAAGAGAAAAACCTGCTCTTGATTCACAATCTAAAAAGAATTAGGAAAGTCCTTCAGGTGAGAATGCATTCTACTTTTCCAAAATATTTGGATTTTTAGGTCCTAAATTCATTTTACAAAAATTAAATCTGTACCTCTATATTATTTTCAAACCATATTTAATAAGATAAAATCTGAATTCTCTTACTATTTTACCTTTTGTGCTCAATGTTTTGTTTGTTTTTCATGAGATTTTGAATCTAAAATGCACTGTCAGTAGGGAGAGCATGCGTGATTTACATGCGACTGTGTGATAGTTATGATCACATCTGACAATGCTGGAACAGGGATTTGAAAGATGTGGCTATCTACCAGTCCTCCCCTACCTCTGTCTCTTACGTAACATATAAAGTTAGTATTGTTCTCATTAATAGATGGAGGCTTCATGGTTGTATGTGCTTTCTTGATTTGGTTTAAATCTCACCTCCTTCACAAATATTCTTTGTCATACTCGCCCCGTGTTTCAAAGGTTTACCCAGGCAAAGCCCATCTCTGTGTTCCTGAAGCACCTGAACACAGCTGTATCGTGGTATTTAATATATTGTACATGAGTGTTATTTCTGTGTTTGTCTTCTTCCTCAAGCTGCAAGTTCCTTGAGGCAGGGACTTTAGTATTCAGCTTTGAATTTCCAGCACTCACCACAAGGCTGGACATATGGTAGATGTGTAATATGTATTGATTAAGGATGGATGAATGAAGGAATGAATGAACGAATGAAGGAATGAATAAATGAATGAAGTGAATCAGGGATCTAAATAATTAAGGGCAGGCTAAACCGAGTTAACCACAGAGATGCTAACATAAAAAACATGGACTACTGTAATATTTCCCGAGTGCCTATACAGGATGTTAGACACGTGTGCCATTTCTCAGTGAAGCATTCTTAGAATCCCCAACTAACACCGGATATATTTTTAGAAAATTTTACCTAGGCTATAAAAGAAATGTGCTTGAAGTTACCAACATTTGTAAGACGGACATATATGTTGTTTTTTCTTATTATTGTTTGGGTTGCACTGAGCCAACTTTGCCCTTTTAATCCCCTACAAATTTATAAGATACTTTGGCAGGGGCTTGAAAAATAGTTTGTTGCTAACAAAACAGTCTTTCATAGCATAAAACAAATGGTCTCTTATAGAAATAAAACATTTAACCTTGGCTTCATTAGCTTAGTGCTCTAATCAATAAACCTAAACCAGGTTGGCGTACCACTTCCTACAAGACAAAGTGGCCGCTGCCTGTTTTTGTATGGACCATGACTGAGAATGATTTTTACATGTTTAAGTGGTTGAAAAAATAAAAATAGATAAAACAAATAAAATAAAATACACTTATAACATGAAAATTATATGAAATTAAAATTTCTGCATCTTAGTGGAATCCGGCCATTCTCCTTTAACAACTCATTGGCTATGGCTGCTTTTTCACTACAACCGCTGAGGTGAGTAGTGACAGAAACTGTAATGCCTCCAAAACCTAAAATTAAAATGTGTATGTGTGTGTGAAATTGGCCTTGTCCTTTATGGGAAAGTGTGCTGACTTCTGGCCTAGAAGTGAAGGTCCTACACTTTGCTAGCGGGGCCAAGATGGGTAAAATGGATGGTGCATGGTGTTTGAAAATTCTGACTCTCAAAATGTTACCTTGGACAAATCACTTAATCTTTCTGAATTCCCTTGTCTTTTTATGTAAATGAGAATGGTTGCTACTTAGCTTTTAAAATTGTAAGGAAGACTGGGGCTTTTATTCTGGAAAAAAAAATTGACTTTCAATAAATTGTTCTTGCTGATAGGGAAAATAGCAGGACTTCTTAGTGTAAATGAGGGCAAGTGGACAGCCCACCTTTTTTTCTGGGTGAGTATCAGAATACCAGTGAGCTGGAGAGCCCGCAGTAAGTCCCAGTCCCATTCAGCTCCTCCCAGTCTCATTTTAGCTCAAACAGAAACTCTTCTGCTTTTGTCACGGGCCCTTTGGCATTTTGTGTCTGTAGACCTTTCCCAACAAACTGCCCCAGAAAAATAGATCTGCTCCTTGTTCCCAAACACCCCAAGCTTACTCTTAAATGGGCCCGAGCCTGAGTCCATAATGGTCCCATGGCCAGGAATGCTCTGCCATCCCTCTTTCTCCAATCCCGTTCCCATTCATCCCTCGAGGGTTAGCCCTATTCTCAGCCTTCACAGAGCACAGGTTGCAAAACAACCAGCATCTCAGCCTTGCGGGTTGTGCCTAAGCAGGTCGCGAACTCTTTGAGGGTAAAAGCCTGACCTCCTTTTGTTACCCGCCCTCCTCCCTCTAGTACCTAGTACGGTTCTACTGCCAACTGGGAACTCAAAAAATAGTTTGGTTAGTTAAGATATGTTGAATTGACAGGAATACTTACTGTTTCTTTCTTGTGCTTCTGCACATTTCATTTTATAAATTATACTTACTGAGTATTTATATTAATTGAGTACACAATAGAAAATAATAATAATGAACATCGTCAACTATGGCCTTACACCTAAACAAACTTGCATTTTATGTTTCTTATTAGTCTGGCATATATATGCCCATGTTTTCATTATTTGTTTTGTGTGTGTGTGTGTGTGTGTGTGTGTGTGTGTGTGTGTGTGTTTTAATAAATCTATTTGATACAACGCAATCTCCACCCCTCCCAAAAGGAGAAGAAATACTATCAAAAGATTGACACTGTGCTTATCTGGTCTAAGCATTTTTAACCTCTGAAATTTTTTTTTAAATCCTTATTGTTGAAAGTATTATACATGTTCCTTCATCCTCTGGAATTTTAAATATAATCTATTTCAATTGTCATAGCAAAAAAAACAAACAGTATGGTACTAGGAGAATGAAGCTGGTCTAAGGTAGACTTTTTTTAGTTTTTTTAGTTTTTATAGGACTGAAGTCTCCAAGATCAATATATAAATTTACCATTTTATATCACACCTACTTACAGTAAGACATTAGAATGTCTTCTTATAAAAGATAAATGAAACAAAACCACTAAACCAAGATAAAGGCAAGCTCCGAGAAGGGAAGCTGTGAGTACTGATGTCCAGCTAGCCTTAGCCCCTTTAAGGGAAGGCAGCCTGAGGTCAAGGTCAGGAGCAATGACTGCAGGTTGAATCCTGGCTCTGTGACTTACTTTCTGTGTGTCCCAGGGAAAGATATTTACACCCTCTGGCCAAAAGCTGTTTTTTGCTAAAAATAAAGATCTGCCACAGATATTTTAAGAATGCTTTGACCTGCTCTTGAAAATTTTTTTTAAAAAAAAACCCATAGACTTTATTTTTTAGAGCCATTTTAGTTTTAAGAAAACTTGAGCAGAAAGTATAGAAAGTTCTCATATACTCCCTCTCCACCCCCCTCTCCTCAGTTTCCACTATTATTTTATTTATTTATTTATTTTTTATCCTCACTTGAGGACATTTTTCCATTTTTTGTTCAGATAGAGTGGGAGGGAGAGAGAGGAAGAGAGAGAGAGAGAAACATCGATGTGAAGGGACACATCAAGTGGCTGCCACCCGCACGACCAACCAGGGCCAGGGACAAACTGCAACCGAGGTACGTGCCCTTAGCGGGAACCGAACCCAGGTCTCTCTGTACCGCAGGCCGACGCTCTAACCGCTGAGCCAAACCGGCCAGGGCTCCACTATTATTATCATGCTGCATTGATGTAGTACATTTGTTATAACTGATGAACCTACTGGGATGCATTACAATAGTCCCCAGTATCACTTTCTGTGGTTCAGTTACCTGTAGTCAACCAAAAATATTACATAGAAAATTCCAGAAATGAACAATTCATAAGTTTTAAATTGTGTGCCTGCCATTCTCAGTAGCATAGTGAAACCTTGAAGGTCCTCCTCCAACCTGCTCCAGACGTAAATCCTCCCTTTGTCTGGCGTCTCCATGCTGGGCACGCTGCCCGCCCTGCCCGGGTTCATCACGTAGGCCCAGCTTGGTTACCTGTTCCAGCTCCACTGTCGCAGCATCGCAGTGCCTGTGTTCTAGTGGACCTTATTTTACTAAACAATTGCCCCAAGCACAAGCATAGTGATGGTGGCAATTTGGACATGCCAAGGAGAAGCCGTAAAGTGCTTCCTTTAAATGAAAAGGTGAGTACAACAATATGTTATTTTGTGCGAAAGAGATCACCTTCACCTAACTTTTAATTACAGTATATTGTTATCATTGTTCTATTTTATTATTAGTTATTGCTGTTAGTCTCTTTCTGTGCCTAATTCATAAGTTAAATGTTATAGGTATGTACGTCAAGGAAAAAGCAGAGTACAAACATTGTCGATTTACGATGGTCCAACTTAGGATTTTTTGATGCAGGATATGCATTCAGTATAAATTGTACTTCAAATTTTGAATTTCAATCTTTTCCTGGGCAAGCAACATGCAGTGCAATACTCACTTGTGATGCTGAGCAGTGGTAGGCAGCCGCAGCCTCCGGTCAGCCACGCGATCACAAGGGGCAACAATGGATCCTCTACAGTGTATTCATTGTATTAGATGATTTTGTCCAACTGTAGGCCAATGTAAGTGTTTGGAGCACGTTTAAGGTAGGCTAGACTAAGTTATGATGGTCCGTAGGTTAGGTATAAAATGCATTTTTGATTTATGATATTTTCATCTTACAGTTGTATATGTAGGGTTCAGTCCTATCTGTGATTTCAGGCATCTACCAGAGGGTCTTAGAACATATTCCCTCACAGATAAGTGGAGACTACTGCATTACAATTTGTTTATCCATTTTTGGCAAGTATGAATAAAGTTGACATTAATGTTTATGTGCAGATTTTGTGTGGACATGAGTTTATAACCCATTTGTGTAAGTGCCGAATACCTTGATTGCTGGATCTTTGTTCTTGGACTTCTTATTTATTGCAAACCTCTTTTTCTTATTCACCTTCCTCTCTGTTTCTCAGTCTGTTTGGGCTACTATAACAAAAATACAATTTATGGGTGGGTTTGAAACAACAGGCATTGATTTCTCACAGTTCAGGATGCTGG